TGGAACCCCTGTAGTCCTTTTCTTTTCCTGGCTACATTCCACTTGTTCTTCCATCTCAGCTAGAATGACATTATCCCTCAGAAATACCCCTTCGCTTTCACGGTCTGGCTCAGCTGTTCATCCTTCGTGCCCATTTAATGCTGGGATTAGACATGTCGGTAGACAATACGGTTTTGTTTTATGTTATAAAGTCAGTTTGTTTACCTCTCTCACTGGACTTTTTAAGGCTCCTGGGCTTGTTAAGAGTAGGCACTATGAGCTATGTTATCCCAAACATCTGGTCTCTCTACAAAGTGCTCCTTGGTCTCTCAGGACAGCACGTGGTTTGGTTTGGTTTAGTCTGGTGAGCAAACAGAGGCTTTGGGGAAGACAGGTTTGGGTACACACCCCACCCCTGCTCACCTCCCTGTATTGGCCACATTGATCCCACATCCATAATATTTATCACCATTCACTACCACTGCTTTACTTGGACCTCAGCAGTGCCTCATCTAGACCTCTGTGATCATTACAGACCATTTCTATTTTTGCCCCTTGTCTCCAGTACTCTTTCCCATATGCATATACATACTGCAAGATAAATCTTCCTAAAATGCAAATTCAATTATTGCTCACTTCCCTGTCTCTACTCCCCTTCCTCCTCCGTTTCCTTCTTTTCTCCCTCACCTCTGTCTCCCTGTCTCTGTCTTTTTCCCCTCTTTGTATATAAAGCGTAGGAAATAAAGCCTCCAGTGCACACGGGACCTGCACTAGGGGCAGGTGGAAGCCAACTGAAGAGGGGGTAGGTGGGTAGAAATCTCCTGGGGCACAGAAAGCCAGGTGGGACTCACAACAGGGAGGACTCGTCAGTGTCCCTCAGAGCTAGTGGCTGGATTCAAAGGACAGCGAGTCTCTGAGTCTGGCCAGGTCTCAGATCTCAATCCCTGTAGAAAGGAAAGTCCTGATCCTATTCTGTAAATATCTGAATCTCATTATGGCTGGTACAAAATCTAGACTGGCTCAACTCAGATTGTATCAATTCAGTCCTAACTCTAGCAATCTGATGAAGAAAGATCGATCGATCGATAATTATCTTAAGGAATTTGTTGAATGAGTGAATGAATGAATGAATGAATGAATGTCTTTGGTATTCATCCATCTTCTGGGTCACCTCACTGGTAGAAAGTAAGCTGTCAATTTGGGTATAAAAGCTCCACTTAGTAAGAATGAATTTGTTCTTTCTCTACATCTCTTGGAAAGCTGCAGTGGTCACTGACAAATTTTTAAGTAAAAGTAAGCAAAATAAAGTAGATTCTTATAACACTGAATTTATTCAATTTAAAGAGCCGACATGAATCCGATGGTGTCTCTTTATTTTCCTGCTGTTAAAACGTTTTTTTCTCCATGAAATGATGATATTAAACAGTCACTTTAAAAGATGTAATTAATTAGCAAAATGAAAATCTGGTTACTCTTTGAGGGCCCCCTAGATATGCGGAACTTATTTTTATTCCTTGGGTGATCTAGGTGATCTAGGTTTTCCTCTCTCGCCATACCTCACCACTGAGCTGAGTGAATTTCAGGGTTTAGATTAAAAAAATCACCCACTCCTCGAAATATTTCCTGACTCTGCAGACTTTTGTGTGCTCTCCATGTAATAGACACCCATGGTATTTGTCATTTTTCTCCACGCTCATCACATGTGTTTTTACTAAGTCAGCATGAGTAGATTATAAGCTCAGTGAGCCCAAGAATGGTGCTTCTCTCTTCTACCAGCGAATCCATAGGACCTACCACTGGGCCTGGCATATGGCAGTGACTCCACAGAAATATTTGCTCACCAAGTGAATGAACGTGAGCCACAGCAAACTTAGGAAAAAGAGCTGGTTTATGTGTTTGCCTCAGTTGCCCCCAAATCCACATAAAGCACCTTCTCGAATAATTCCCAGCCCCATCTTCCTCGGAAATGGTAGCAGGTGGATGAGCTGACAAAGGCAAGCTCGGGACTCCCTCCTGCCCATCCTCCAGTCTTGCAGCCTCCTGCCCGCTGTGAGTGGAGGGAAAGGAGGAACGGAACAGATGCTTTATGTGCTCTTACTTTCGATTATGTCAGTTGTTTCTCATAAGGGTCTTTGACTTGCTATTTTATTAACCTCATTTGATTTATGAAGAAACTAAGTCTTTACAGAGATTGAATCATGTGTTTACCCAACTTTACATAACATATACATCAGGGCTGGCATAGAGCTCGGGTACTTCTGGTTGCAAAGACCACGCTATTTTGCACTCTTGTTATGTGTGGTCTTCATCACTTCCATCCAAGAGAGGTACTGGGTCCTCGTCCACTCTGGATTCTTGCAGGGGAAGCCAGAAGGCCCACGGCCCTTTCCTGGGTGCCACCCGCCCCTCTGGGAACGGGCCCGCAGGTGCCTCCCCCCACCCCCCTCCCCCCAGAGCAGACACGCGTTGGCATGGTTTCCTACTCAATCAGTAGGAAATCATTACTGCATTGCTAGGAAAATGAAACAACGCACGTTATACAAGACCCATGGTGACACTGAGAAATGAGGAGCTGCCGTGAATGCCGCGCAGCCAGATCTGTATGCCTGCCAGGCAAATCACAAATGGCCCCTCACGCATTTGTCTTGGAAAACAGGAGCTTTCACTGTGGTGTGATACGCATGAGCAGACATCAAGGTCTCTCCGCGCCCCACCCCCACCCCGGTCCAAAGCCTCCACGTCGACCCAAGGCCTCAGTCATGAGACAGGCTGGAGGCAAGGTCTGGGTTCTCTACAGGAAGCCCACTTCACTACATCCATAGAATCGTCACTGCCCTGAGCCAGAAGGGTTCTAGCTACCTGGTAGCCAGGTAACTTCTCACCTTGCTGATTCTGGTCCCTCTGGAATACTTCCTCGGGGAGAAGCTCCCTAGTTGCCAAATGATCCATTATTGACCCTCCTGGTCAGTGTTTCCCCAAGTATGGGATGCACCTCTGAAAAGACCGTACCTAGAGACATTCATTCTCATAGAGTGAGGCTTCTCTCCTTCTCAGCTTTCATTTCTTTAGATATCAGGGTGGGGGGGGGGCGGGGATCCCCATCTTCTCTGTCTTGAACACCTCTCTCATACTCCCCATTTCTGTAGGGCTTCTTGGGATGTCTGCCCTTTCTCGTGTTTCTCTGTTTCTACATATCTGTTTTATTTTGCTTTCTTGGAAACCATATTTATCTCCAGAGCTCCTCAGCCCTAGGACCCCCTATTTGAAATATCAAGGATTGACAATCTTGCTGGCTTCAACTGGGTGAGGTGTGACTCCTGATAACATTCAACTCTATGGAAGCGATGGATGGCAATCATGGGTGTGTGACAACAGAAGGCCATCCCTGAGGGTGACAGCAAGGCATTAGCAAAGAGGGACTATAGGGTGACCAGGCACCTAAGAGTTGTCTACCATAGGGTGGATACAAAGAAATACAGACCACGTTGCTCTGAGATCTTCCTTTTTTTTTTTTTTTTTTTCCTGATGAGAGAGAGTGCGCGCGTGCAAGTGGGGGTGGGAGAAGGGCAGAGGGAGAGGGAGAGAATCTCAAGCAGGTTCCACATTCAGTGTGGAGCTGGAAGCGGGGCTCCATCCCACGACCCTGAGATCATGACCTGAGCTGAAATCAAGAGTCAGATGCTTAACTGACTGAGCCACCCACGTGCCCGGAGACCTTCTTTTTTATGTGTCTCCCCATGATAGAAAAATGGGGATAAGGTCCTAGAAAGAGGTTTGACTGAGGCCGAATATATTATCACAGACACAAAGTCACAACCCAGGGTTAGAAGCTTTACTTTTCTGAGATGGAGATTTTTAAATTCTAACTGTAGCCAGTCGAATGTACCCACAACTTCCCCTGCGCTAAAATCCTCTCTTCACCCAATCCTGAAATATATTATTTTACCAATCCAAATATGTCAGGGATTTTATTGCATTTGCATTTCAAACCTGATAAAATCATTTTCCGGGTGACATTTTTCCTTGAAGGCAACTTCAAATTGAATATTTTTTTCCTTGTTATCTCTCTCTCCCTTACCAGTCCAACTTCACTTTCAGATTGCAAATCACTCACTATCAAGAGAGAGGCAATGATCCACTGTTGCCATCTTTCCCTCCCTGGCGTGTGGAGAGGTTCAGCTTTGCATTTCCAACTCAGGTCTCTACTTACAGAAAATCTCTTGCAAACACTTTAAAATATCTTCATTGCCCATATCTCATAAGCTGATCTTTGCTCTTTGCCAGATGCTGACAGAGGACGCCTCCTCTCGCACCCCAAAGACAGGGGAAGGTAAGAGATACATTCCTATTTGGATTTTAGGGTGACATCCTTTATCTATGAACCTCATTTCTTGATCTGCTTTAAGCACTTGTAACAAAGGATACAGGCTAGGAGTCAGAGGGTTTTGTGTGTGACAAACGAGAAGAGTAAAACCTAAAACATACAGTATCTGGGAAGATTCCGTTAAGTAACACCTAGCATATGGCCACGCTTGAGTGTAAGCTCTGGTGAGTTCTTTTTGATCTGTTTTGCATCATCTTTCACCAAACCTGTGCTCAGGGAGATCTCTAATATGAACTGCTCACACTGGGAGACCCCATAGTTCAGGAAAGAAAAAGGTGAGACTCCTCCAGCTTGGAGCCCCTTGCCACTGAGTGACAGGGGGTGCATTTCTTAGTCTGTAAGTTTCAGTTTCCACCTCTGGAGAAGGTGGGCAGATCATCTGCAACTTGCAGGGTGGGTGGGAGGCTACCGGGCCATTAGATGTGCTGCCCAGAATAGCTCTGCAATTTTCAAAACATTGTTCTTGCCATTGCTCATCGGAGAGAATACGTACAAGAACTTTTTCTGTTGGCCAGGCACTGTGCCAGCATTGGGCTGTGCTTTGTCACATTGTATGTTCTCTACAATCAGAGGCAGTCTGCATCCTTTCCAGTCTGATACATAAAGAAACCGAAGCACCAGGGAGTCAAACTCTTACCTGTGTGTAGAGCCAGGGTTCGTTCCCACTTTGTTGTCTTTACTGTCGCTGTCACTGGATTCACGCTGCCAGAGGTGCGGGTCTTTGTAAAACCTAAAATTAAAAGGGACAGAGAGCGGAAACTGTTATGAAAGCCGAGAAAGAAATTTAATGCTCAGAGAGAAATTTTCTTGGCACTTCCTCAAAATACTAATTGAAAACTTGTTTAAACACCCAGGACTGTCATCCAGATGGTGAAACATACAATTAAAATAATTACCCTAAATCTGGCAATCTAGAATTATCACTTATTATTATTAATATAGCACCTATTCAGACAGAATTAACTTTTTTACTTCCAATTCCTTCTGTAATATTTAGCACAGCCCCACAGGCATGAGGATTATCTGTCTTTTGCATAAAGTCTTTATAACGCCTTTCATTTGTATTCACATTCACCTATAAAGAGTGCTTCCTCAGGCATGGAATGATTTACCTAGCAATCCTGCAGTGGTGGGCAGTCTTGTTACCTCTCAAAGATGGGGATATTAATGCCCCAAAGAGCTCTGCCACACAGCTACTAAATGATAGGGCAGGGATTTGGTTTCTCAACCTTTAACTCTGATCAGACAAAAACTTTTTGAATTATGAAGATCAAAGAAATAAAATGGAATTAATGTGCGAGAGTGTTAAATGTCAGCCTTATTCAGTAGAACAAACCAGTGGAAAATGCCTACATTCCCAACTTAGGAAGAGGGTTCCATGTGCTCTTGTTCCCCAACTTGATGGTATGTCGTGCAGTGATTTGAAATGTCTGAAAAAAAAATCATGTGGTATCACGTAATCGCTATTTATTATATACTTCTCTATATTGTATTTGTTATATAATGCTGCATGAATCAAAAACTGGAATTCAGAATTATACACAGTGGACGACCACCATCCCTATAGAATTAACAAAAAGGAAATTCATCGAGCTGTTCAAAGATCTTGTGCTTGGTAAGAAACATTTTTTTTCCTTTTCAAGTGTTCACATTTTTATATTTTATGTGATGATGATACTAATGTTAGAAGAAAAATCATTGCCGATGCATTTTAAAGATGGTTACCTGCAGATATAGAAGGGGAAACTGAATTGTTACCTGATTCCAAGACAGCTTTTATAATAATGACTAAAAAATATAAATGACAGGCCTTTGGGCATTCTTGCTTTCTTTCTAAGATGCCTCACCGCTTAGTAAGCTACGTCAGTCTGTGGATTTCATTGGGGGCTTTACTAATGTATTAATTTTGTTTCTCTCTGCTGGAAACACTAACTGCTGAGGGGTTGGGGCTATTTGCCTATTAGTTCTGATTGAGAAGGTGAGTGATATTAATGCATCTTGAGTAATCAGGGTTGACTTACTGGAGAATGTAAATGAGTTTAGGGACACAGTGGGATGACTACCCAGGGAGAAGGTGATTTTGGGCATGAGAAACCATTTAGCAGAAGGGCATAGGAATTTGGAAGACTCCTGCCCACCCCTGCCAGGTCTACTTTGCTTAAAAACAAAAATAAAGATCAAACAAGAAAAGGAATATAAAAATTTTCTATCAGGTTCCTCCTTAGCTCAGTGACAATGAATACCGCTCCTGATGTAATTCTGGTTCCTCAGCCCAGAGATTGGTGCGGTGTAGACCCATGAGAAGGGGATGAGATTTTGCAAATGGGATGAAAAGTTTCAAATCCCAGGTGAGTCAGTTTCTTACCGTTGGAACTCAGGACGCTTAACATTTCTGAATGTCAAGTGCCCTCTTGGTAAAATGAGGATAGTGCAAAGTGGAAAAGAAAGTTTGGGGATTATAGACCAAGGTTTGGATTTAAGATTGCTACTTCCTTTCCCATGTGGCCCCTGACCCTTCTCCTATGCATGCCACTACGGGGCCTTCTTTATGTTCCCCAGATACACTGAGCTCTTTTTTCCTCATACTGAGTTTTGACAAGTTGTTTGCTCTGTTGGAAATGATCCCAACTTTTCCTCGACTACCCCACATTTTCTGCCGTGCACCTCCCCTCACCCTTAGGGGAGACTTCCTGGTCTTCATCTCAGCCTAACTTTTCATGAGCCATCTCAGCCTAACTTTTCATGAGCCATAGACCAGGGGAGACCTCCACCCTGGTCATTACTCCCATAACCCCAGATATCATTCCCTCACAAAACTTATCACCATTTATAATGCTGTGTTTCTGTGAGCATGATTAGTGTCTTTTCTTCTCTTAGAACACAGGTTTGGAGAGAAAGTGGTGCCTAGTCCAGTAGGTCCTGAAAATGCATTTATAAAACAAATGAACAAAAAAAATGAAGCAAAAAAAAAGACAGAGTTTCTGTCTTCAGAACTCACTTGATCCTGGAAGCAAGGTCTGAGGTAGATCTTGGAATGATGATCAAAGAAAATGGTCAACATGTGAACACTATTTGTCCCTATAAAATGATGCAAATATTATCCTTTTCTGGGACTAAAATATGCACAGGATGACCCAACATACTGGGCAAAGATAAACTAACAGACTATGAATTGGGAGGAGGATGATTCAAGTTAAAGCATTCTAAGTTTTGTATAATATTCAGCAGGAAGTTAAAAAGAGATCAACTTTTGACTCTACTAAGTATGGCTGCTATAATTTTTAGAGTAGCCACTGTAACCTTAGAAATAAAGAATGTAACTTACAAACTGGTAAAGAACAAACCAGATAATGGATGCAGGGAGGGTGGAAAGCTCAGTCTGTCCCAGAGAGGACAAGAAAAAATAAGGAATAGAAAAACAGAATAAATAGGCAAAGCTCCAAAGATTGGGTCTAACTCAATATGGACAAGACCTTTTGGGAGAAAGTTTGAACTTTATGGAAAGCTCTTAAAGAATTGACTTAAGTAAATGGATATATACCCCATGTTCCAGGAAGACTTAGTAATGCCAAAAAATGCCAATTATCCCCCAAATTGGTCAAAAGATCCAATTCAATGACCAGTGAAGTCCCTATAGTGTCTTTTGTGTAAGATCAGATGTAATCACATGTAAACATCTGATTCTAAAATGTATATGGATGAATGAGGGAGTCAAAAATAGCCAAGACATGCCTAAAGAAAACAAAATGGTAGAATAGTAATTGCCAAACTCAATCAGAGTTACTATGAAAGTATATAATAATTAAGACAGTATGGACATAGTACAGAGATACACGGAGCAATGGATCAAAATAAAGAAGAGAAAAAAAGTGTCCATGTAGAAACAGACCTACATGGATATGAAAACTTCATGTCTGACAGAGAACAGCAACCATATATCAGTGAGAAAAAGGGAGCCTCTTTAATAAACCATGTCAACCCAACATTTTATATACCAGGAGAATGACAGAGAAAACAGAGAGCTAGGGAGAGGGAGAGGGGGAATCTTCACCTTCCCATTTTTTCAAGAAAGTTAAATATTTAAATATGAGAGACTGAATTTTAAAACTTGAGAGTGAAAAATCAAGAATGTCTTTATAACATCTGAGTAAAGTAGAATTTCTTAATCAAGACACAAAACCATAGCTACAGAGAAAAAGTTGGAAAATTTGACTGTGTCCAAATACGGAATTTTTGTTCATCAAAGCACAAACCCAACACACAAGACCTGAAGCAAACTACAAACTGGGAGATGTCAGCAACACGCAAAACCAGCAAAATGTTAGTAACAGCATACACTAAAAATTCCCCTAGACTCAGTAAGGAATACCAAACAACCAATAAATAAAATGGACAAAATTCTTGAATCGGCATTCCCAGAAGAGAAAGGACACATGGCCATTAAGATAGGAAAAGATGCTCATCTTCAATGGTAATTGGAAAAATAAAATGCAAATTAAAGTCACAATGAAATGTTTCTTTTGGCCAGTTTGACAAAATTTAAAAGTCTGAAAATATGCATATGGAGCATGGGCACTCACATACTATTGCTGGTTGGGAGCCTAAATATTTGCAACTGCTTCAGAATACATCCATCATTATTTAATATAGCTAGAAAAATATATACCTTAAACATTGTGTTAGCACCATTGTTTCCAGAATGACATTAAAAAAAAAACAACCCTGGAAACATCCAACAAATCCAACAATAGGTGAACAGGTAAATAAATTATGGCATTCATACACTGAAACATCATGCAGAGGTAAAATAAATAAACAATATCTACCCATATCATAGCTCGTTTGAGCAAAAAGTAAAAAAAAAAAATTTAAAGGAATATGTACAGCATGCTTTCATTTATATAAGGCTCCCAAACTTGAGACGTGAATGACACACTGAATAAGCATTACGTGGTAAAACTTTATAAAGAAGCAGAGCCCTGATAATCACAAAATTCAGGAGACAGTTAATTAGCTTTAGGCTCAGTGTAGGGGATGCATCCAAGGTTGGATACACAAGGAAGCCTTGAAAGGCACTGGTGCTATTCTTCCTTTTTTGTTGATTGATTGGTGCACTGTTACACATTTTGTTATTATTTTATAATTTATAAATCTGTAATATACTTTATGGATTCATGAAATATCACATTGTTTTTTTTAAATAAAGGAAGGACTAGTTATTTCTGCTGACTTCTCATAGTATTCATTTTTGGATCAATTACATTTTGTAAATATTAGAATGTTGAAACCAAGTCAATTTTTCTATTCTGGCTTTCTGAGACTACGGGATGCCCAATGAATGGACAACCAGACCACTTATCTTGTCATTTAGATATCTTTTATTTAGATTTAAATCTACTTTAATCAAGACATGCTCTCCCTAAATTGAAATCCCTTGAAAGCCATGCTGGTTACAAAAATGGGCAATGAATAGTCTCTTTGAACAAAGTATCATTCATAACGATCTGCAGAACTGTCACTTTTCTTCGACTGTCCTTTGATAATGAACTAGACCCTTCTCACTCAACTGATTAAAGGTGGATGACTGACTCATCTTGCAGATATGTCCGCTGTCCTGTAGAAATGGACACCTTTTCTAATCAGAGTGGTTAAAATGAAAATTATTTTGTTCCTCTGATGAGTCACTTTAGAAGTTGGATTAGTGAGTTTATAGAGCTAATGGTTAGATTT